GGTGGGGGCGGGCCGCCTTAAGGAGAAACCGCTGAAAAAAAAAAAAAAAAAAAAGGGAGCATGTCTTTTGTCATCAGACTAAAGTTTTATTTCTTTGAAGTTTTATTTCTTTGAGCCTGGCATTAACTTCATCAAGTCTCAGTTTCTTCATTTCCAGAAAGTATAATAAAATATACAACAATAGTATAGGGAAACTAATATCCACCTCATGGAGGCATTATGAGTATTAAATAAAATGATACATGTAAGATAATTTATGTATAGTTGATAAGTACAGCAATGGCTACAACCTCGTGATCCCATTTGCACTGATTCTTGAAAATCATCTCTACTTTAATATTTTGCAGACATTTCAGAGTCAATATGTTCAAAATTAAAATTATCTTTCTCTTTGAACCTGTCCTCTCTCTTCTGTTTACTACCCATAAGTGTATAGAAGAATTACCATTAAATCATATAAAACAGAGACCTCACTGTGAATTTTTATGAGGGACTTCAAAAAATTTGTGGAGGCCCAGCTTCTGTGGCACAGTCAATAGTATGCTGTACTACAGTGCTGAAAATCACATGGCCAACCATGGGTGTAGGTCCCCTGCCAGGCTGACCACAAACATGCAGAGTATGCCTGTGCCCACAATTCTGATGAGTTAGCGGGGGAAGAGGAATCAGAGTGTAACAAGACTTATTGGGAGCGTTTCTCTCTTTTTCTTGTGTTATGTGCACATATGTGCTACTATGAATAATAATTTTTAAAAGTTTATGGAAAAATGGAATTCAAGTACAAGTTTATTTTGATACAAAAAAATGTAAAATCCAGGACTAGCAGGTGGCATAATGGTTACGTCACTGGACTTCCACATCATTGACTGCAGTTCAAGTCCAGGACCTGTTGACTTAAAACTCACATTAGTCATGTGTGCCTGCATGCCCAAAATCCCAAGAGGAGAATAGAGGAGAAGAGACTGTAGTGTGGCCATACTCCCTGGAGGTGATTTATTGCTTTCTGTCTCTCTGTCTCTCTGGTGAGCACATGTGCAATATAGAAAAAAAAAAAACTTTCTAAAAAAAAGTAAAAATCCAAGAATGTTTTTTTCCTAATATGTATTTTCCATGAATTTTTGAAGACTTCCCCTATATTTACTTCCTCTTCTTTATCCCTACCTACCAAATACAGTATCTATTGAATTCATTTCCTCCTTTTTATTCCCTTGCTTTCACTCAAGATATCATAATTCATCTTTTTCTCTGTGATAAGCATGGAGGTACACCACCTAGGTCTACCTCCAGGGAAAGACTTGCTGTTCAATATAGGGAATATAGCCAATGGACAGCCACTGGCTGCTTCGGTTCCTACAATGTCCACCTCAACTGCAGAAAACAGTCCTGTATAAGGCCATAGTCATCATGGGATGCCTTCATCTAGTGACTGAGCAAGACAGGGTATAACAGTCCAGCCATTTTGACCAACTGCAAGACAACTCTAAAAAGCAGTATTTATTTCTGAGCTCCTTGTCAGGTTACCTACGACATTGCAGTTTGACTTCTCTTGCAATTGAATCCTGCTTCCTCACCCTAGTAAACATCTTGCATCTCAAATTGTGTCTCACATCTGCTTCCAGAAAACCCCACTTGTTCTTCTATATATATATATATTTTTTTTTGAGAGGTTTTCGCTATAGGGCGCTTGCGCTCCCCAGACAGAGAGAGACATAGAGACAGAAAGCGAGAAATCACCCCCAGGGGGGATGGTCACGCTGCAATCCCTTCTCCTCCCTTCTCTTCCTGGGATCTTGGGCACACACACACACGCGCGCGCGCGCGCCCGGCTTGAGTTTTAAGCCACCGGGTCTGGGACGCGAACCGTGGTCGACTACATGGGAGTCCAATGACATAGCCATTATGCTAACTGCTGGTTCCCAGAAAACCCCACTTGTGACTTTCTCTTTCAAAATTGGGAAATTTACTCAGCCTTTTGTGTGGACCATAGTAATAGCCTTCTCTTAAGTGTTTTCGTTGCTGATTTCTCATGATCTAATCCATTTTCTACAAAGCAATAAAAAACATGGATCTGCTTATGTCATTGCTCTGTTTTTGTTTTTACTTTTGAATTTCCCATACTTAGTGAATTAAATTCAGAATCCTCAAAATGACATTCAAGATCTTATACAACTTAATTTTCAAATTTTATTTTCTACCATTTCTCTTTATCCAGCTATGCTCTAGGTTATTTATTTTAAAAGCATATCTTTGGAGCTGGCAGGTGGCACGGTGGTTAAGGTGCTGGACTCACACATGGCCAGCTATGGTTCAAGTCTTGGAAATACCAGCTTGCTTTCTCACTTTCCCTCTGTCTCTCTGGTCAAATTGAAAAATAATAGTAATAGGACCTGAAGATGGTGTAATAGTTACATCGCTGGACTCCCACATAGTCAACCACGGTTTGAGTCCTGGACCTGGTGACTTAAATTCACACTGGACACTTATATGTACATGTTCAAAATCCCAGGAGAAGAATGGAGGAGAAGGGATTGCAGCATGGCCATAACCCCTGGAAGGGGAGTTCTCACTTTCTGTCTCTCCAGCGAGCATACATGCCCTATAGCAAAAATCTCTCTTTAAAATAAATAAATAAATAATTTTTAGAAGTTCTTAGGGAACCAGCAGTTAGCGTAATGACTATGTTGCTGGACTCCCACGTAGTCGACCATGGTTCGCATCCTAGACCCAGTGGCTTAAAACTCACGCT